CGAAACAGCTCGGATAGGATTTAGAAGATATTTAGAGAGAAAATTGTACACAAATGAATGTGACGTATCATGAAAATGATCGTGTACTAATTGCTTGCAGTGCAACAGCTGCATTTGATTGCAGGAGTTTGTAATGATTGCAAATTACTTCCTTATTATGCGTTATCTTCTTTATATATTATTTTTCTAAGAAATAGAAAATCAAGTGTGACGACACTTCGACGTCGCAATAATTGCAAATCATTTTACGAGTATAACTATTAATTATTTTAAACAATCTAAAAAAGCTTTCATTCAATAAAATTTTCACACAATAAACATATAAAAAATTACATTTACTCGACACAATTTCAATTACCCTACCTAGCTCTTGAGCTGGAAGCTGGAAGGGAAACTTATTGCAAGATCGCTTGCGAAAGTACCTTTACCTTATACTCGTGGGAATGTACGTCCGGATACTTTCTGAGAGTATTATCCCAATAAGTTCTGGAATTCGTGTGGTGCAGTTTGAGATATATATATATATACATCCAAAACCATACATTCATGAATCGCAAAAAGGATGCATTTTAATCATCTGTCTAATTGATCATCGTTACTATAAATTACTATAAATTAGGATCGAGAGCGACCTCAAAATCATAATATTATTCGAAATGTAAATGACAAAACTAATGTGTTACAAATGTCACAATGATGAAATATGCGACATGGATTTTCCGCTCTGAATTATATATAGTTGGATATCGAGAATCCGGTTAGGAAAATTCATGTTTAGCTTCAGGGAGCAGATGGAAGTTGGTGCAAAACAGCATATCTTATATATTATCGGCGCGCTTAAAATTCTGCCTGCCATAGGTTATATTTCATCGTTTAAATTTAATTGGCATATTAATATTCCTCGGATATCACTTAATATCGCGGACTAATTATTTCCATTTTAATTTAGTAGAAAAAAGGAATAATTTAATAAGAAGGGAAGTAACCTGATTTGGTTAACAAAACATTGGAAGAGAACCTATTGGCAGAGACTTTGTATTTCTCGTGGGATTAATAACAAATAATTTGGTACTTACAACATCAACTATTGAGTTATCATTAAAATATCGAAATAGATAGGGGAGTATATTTTCAAAAGAATTTGAACATAAATTTATTACAATTTATTACTCTAAAATTTTGAATGTATAATTAACAATTAAGTATTAATTAATTATATAATCAATTAATTAATAACACTAAATAAGATTTTACTATTTATTTACACCTTAATTAATAAAAATTTAATAAAAATAATAATTTAAAATAAATAATGGACTTCTGATAATACGATAAAATATAATACAATAAAAATAATAAAAATCTTTTAATGTTTTAATTTTATTTATTAGTTTGATGTATGTCTTCTTAAATTTCTGTTAAGGAACTTTTTTATTTATCAAGTTTCGCTATTTCTTTAATATTTCTGTTTTTAATTATTACTGTTTATAGAATTTTCACGTTTTAAAATGTGACAGATTGCACAAAAATCTATCAAATTAATGACGCTATTATATTGCGGCATAACGATACGTTTCTTTAGTTCACTAATGTATCTACTGTTTCATTATACTTAATTATACTTGTATTTAACTTTCTGTCAGCATAAAACTGTCGCTTGGAATCACAGTTGCTGATTTCTACTTTATTTGAGAATTTATTATGATTATTATGGAAAGTTGAAAAAGTAACGTTCTTCGATTTACTTAATGCACAACTTACAATAAGATTATAATTGTAGCTTAAATTTCCGCAAGCAAAAGTTTCAGATTGATTGAAATTTTCATCTTAATTCTCAATTTTCATATTCATTAATCAGACACGAAATCGTTTCTAGGCAACATCGTACAAAGAAGGTTTATCATTACCGGTGTACATAATAAAAACTCTGTTTAAATTTACGTCAAAAGAAAGTTGCGTCGACAAATTGCTCATTCAAAGTAACAGCCTTTATAATTAGTAAGAAGATAAAAGAAAAATTTATCGGTTATTAAAAAAATCTTGGTATCTCTCAGTATCATGTAACGCCGCAAAGAATCCGTGTCCACGATTTGCCTTTATTAGCTCTGAGATAAGAAAGCCGTTTAAACTTAATCATCGGCAAGCCTTCGATTGCAGCCTTCAGCTAAATCGATTTTGTTAATGGAAATCCATTATTCCCAAATAGCGTTCGCCGTTATCGCGAATTTCCCTGTAATCGTAAGAACGATAATCGCGTAAGGATGAGAATTATACGTCGACCGCGGAAGGGAGAGAGCCGGTTTCACCGTTTCGCGTATTAACTCTCCTCCGGACTCTCGTCCGGCGGAATCTGGTGTCGATTGGCGAATTAATTACCGCGCGTGTCCTGCGGAACGGGGTACCGTTCGCCCGCTGTCGATCCGCCTGTTTGCCGTATCCTGCTCACCACGACCTCCGCCACCGCCACCGCCACCACCACCACCTTCACCGCCATCACTTGCACGAGAGGAGGAGGTTGCGCTCGTTGTGGATGCCATGAGTGGGGGTTAGCGTCAGTGGCAGCGGTGGATGTTCGTGCAGGTACGTGGTACCCCCCACGACTATCGCCGCCGCCGTCGCCGCCGCCGCCACCACCACCACCATCACCACCACCACCACCACCATCAAACTGTCATAACCAACAACAGCGATCACTAACACCATCAGCATTTCCGCGACCGGCCCTCGCCACCACCACCACCGACCTCTCACCGCGATCCTCGCGTGTGTGCCTCGAGATCCCACCGTTATGTGTATACGTATATAACGCGGCTACGCCAACGAAGATTCCGCGCGGCCGACGGCGTTCTCCGTGCGGCTCGGGGTGGTTCGATACGCGCGCGCGCGCACGGTACCGATGGGGGTTCGGTGCCGACAGTGCCGCCACAGCTCTCGGAAGAGACGCCCGTGATTTTGCACCCCCGCTCGAGCAGAATTTACCGAACTATACGACGAGGGTGCACCACGGCTCTCTCTTTTTCTCTCTCTCTCTTTTTCTTTCTCTCTCTCTCTCTCTCTCTTTCCTTCTGTCTCTGTCCCTCTATCTTTCTCCCGCTTAATCCTTCCTTTTTCTCTCTAACTCTCTAACTCTCGTCTTCTCTTTTTACCGCGGGCTGTTCCTCTTTCTCGCTTCCGGCTTTTCTCTTCGTTTTCGCTGTCGTCGTATCCCTCGCCCGACTGTACTATTCGCGACGCGACGATTGCCGTACCTCGCCGGATGACGGATGACGAGTGAGTGCTGACCGTGGGAGATACCGCGGAGTCAACCGTGTTTGGTCTCGCCGTCAATCTCAACGCCTCGTGGTGGTGGGTGCTGGTGATGATAGTGGTACGCTGATACGAGCCGACCACGCTGTTTCGCGAGAATCGCGATTGTGTGTGGGCGGATGCGCCTTTTCCCCCCCATCTTTACTCCCGCCAGTGCATACTTCAAACGAACAGCCTGGCTAATCGCGTCCTGGCCGCTTAGTCACCGACGATTCGTCCTCGGGGTCCTTTTCGCATGATCCCGCCGGAACGAACATTCAGAGGGTCGAGGTGATTGACCGGCAGACGACGACGCTTCGTATGTTTCCGACGTGCACTTATCCAAATTTCACCATCGCGCGAAAGCTGAAGTCAAACCGAAAGTCTGTGAATGACCAAGGAATAAGGAGCGATTGCGCGTTTCTATGCTTTCAAACCGTTCGTTGATTAAACTATCGATCGAGGACTGCGATCGACTTGGGGAACGTCCTCGTCTTGGTGTGACACACGTTGCAGTACGATTTACATGACGGTTTACGTGCCTACAGTGACGTGGTTGATGATCGATGACGGCGCGAGTCGCGAGGGCTCACGTGGTCGACTTTCACTCGCTACCGCACGCATATATTTATTAAATTCACCCAGACTGTCGGCGAAACGGAGTTCCAAGGGCTGGTAGACGCGACCGGTCGATCACTTATAGCAGGTAGTACCATGACACTCGGTAGCTGCCAACATTCGAAATGAGTTATGTGCAGGCACGGACTCCTTGACCTCTTAAAGTCGCGACACGACACGAGGAGTATACCACGCAAGTATATGTAAACCGCTCTCGACAATGCAGCCAGGGTAGGCTCATGAGCGACGGTATAACTTGAGAGACTTTTAGTGATCGAACCTTCTGTGATTTCGAGAGGCTTGTCATTTGGCTTGAACAGCATCATCGAATCGTGCCTTGCACGCGCTTTACTGTCGCAAATCATCGTGATCTGTCAAGGTGACACGCGTTGTTGTTTCCAACAAGCGGGATCACTAGAAACTTTAAAGTGCTGGAAGTAGCAGATTGCGAGAAACTGAAAAGTCTGTCACCATCCATCACACGCGAATACTCTCTAGTATTTTCCGCTATTGGCCATCAATAATAAAGTGTATCGGATATTATCTACTTATCTGTAATCTTAGCAAGTCGCCCTAAGATATCGAAAACATAAACCATCGCTTAATGCAATTTTGCAGTCTAGTGCATCGATATATGAATCTACGAGGCTACCTTTTGTATTGTGAACTCTCGGCCTCAATTCGCGAGGTTCAAGATGTAAAAAAGTAGCACGATTTCTGTATTCAAAAGAATATTTCTGAATGCAGATCTCGCGAGTGTTAATTGACGAAAATGAAATACAGTTTGAAAAAAGGTGTTTCACATGGGCTTTCGGTGTCACTGCAGCAGAAGTTCAACCAGCATTCCGAAATAGCCTAGATGCAATCGCAGATGTAATCAAGGCTTCAAATAAATGATGAGATAGGAGAAGACAAATCGACAACACGGAAACAAGCGGTGATATATCGTGTAATCCTTAACGCTTCAAAATCCTACTGGTTGGTCGATCGATAACAGCGTGGCGGATATCGATCTGCAGTAATCAAGTATCAAGGTAATCTAGCGATAGTATGAGGTCGACGAAAGTAGTACAGGATCGAAAGGGATGATCGAGCAAAGGTCCCAATGACATCTCGGCGGGGCGGGAGCGAGGGGTATAAAAGTCCTCCCAGCCCTCCGAGCAGCGGTTCGGAGGACAATGGCTTTACGAACCGACCCCGCGTGGCCGGGCTCTACGTGAAGAACTTGAGCAGAGAGGAATTGGATGAGTTGGCCAAAGAGGGAATTTATGGACCTACTGGGAATCCGAACGACCGACCTAGAGACGGCGGTAGCCAGAGGAGTCTCAATATTCTAGGAAGTAGCCGCGACTTGGACAGTCAGGATCATTTCAGAGGAGCGACTTCCAGAACACCTCAGCCACCCAGAAGATCTGGCATCGCAGTCAAACATCGAGAACCTGATAGTAGATTATCGGAGACTTTAGTGCGGAAGGATCATCATGGCTCGCTCCCGACGGAAAGGGGTTGGTCGAGACGCCCGGAGGATCATCCTGGGCAGACTTTACCGGAAAGGTCCGCTCGAGGATCTTCCGAGTTTCCTATCGGCTGGAGAGAGTCGTTACGACCCAGCGTTAGTGCATCGCCTAGAGAAAGTTCCATTGATGTGCGGATTACCGATGAAGATCTCAGGATGGCGGTTGGGCAGCGCCATTTCAGGGAAGCCCCGAAGCGTCCTGAAGTACCTTCGCGTCGCGTCATCTCGTCGACGGGACTCAGTGAGGACCAATCACCGCCGCCATACGCGGGTCTAAGTCCACCTAAGTATACCGAATACGAGGAACCGAGCTCGCGAGCATCGAAGATTTGTCCCAAAACTGCAACGAGAGTCTACCAAGTCGATGACAAGGAACATACAAGTTCGCCATATGAACGTCCGAGTTCACCGTCGTTAAAAGAAGACAAGGAGTCTCTTTTTCCGCAAACGAATGCCAAGTCGTCAGATTCGCGCGCCGATACCGACAAAGCGGATGAAGTTACGAGTCCGTCAGGGACGGAGAAGTTAACCTCACCAGAATCCAAAAAGAGCGAATCTCCGCCAATGAAGAGAATTGGTTCCAGGACGCAGGACAGCATGAGACTGCGGCCACCGTTGGCCGGAACCGCTGGCACTTCTGCTGATTCCGGCACCGGCGATTCCGGAAGCGCAGAGATCCAAGCGGATGTCGTGACACCGCAGACAGCGTCGAGTGACATTCTCGATACCAAGGAATCTAAGATCGAAAACAGGTCATTCGGCGCGAGAACTCCCAGCAGCAAGGGCGGCAAGCAAACAGTCAAGCCGTTCACGAAAGAGAGCAGATTGGAGAATAAGACTGTACAATTAGTGCGCGAATATGGTTTTCAACCGAAGAAAAAGATGTCGGTGGAGGATGGCGCGGTATTGCCAAACAAGTTCGAACCATTTCCGAACAATCTCTACGGCAGGCCGTTGGAAGAGATCGACAATTTTATCTACGATGAGGTGAGTTCACAATTTCGTCGCATATATCTTCATTACTTCATCTTTTGCTCGTCAAAATTCTATGAGATAACAGTCTACTTTTTGAATCATTTAATATGTAAAATATTTGCAATCTAGATTAATATAAAACTAGTCACAACTATCCAAAACCAATTTGATTCTATTTAAAATATATTATTAAACGTATTAGAAAATATAGGAGAGGAATAAAACGTTATCATATATGGATAAAATTGGCATGAAATTGTTTTTAATTTTTATTGATATAAATATAATTTAAAAAAAAAAGTAATGAAGAATTTGAGATACTTTGAAAAATATTAGACTTACTTTTGGAAAATTTAAATACAGTTACAAAGTACATAAAATATCATAAAAAATCATAAAAATTTTTTTTAAAACTTCTTTTTATAACTTACTATTTTTCTTCTAATGTTTTCTTTTAATGTAGAATAAAAGGTTGAAAGGTTTAAACTTCAAAAAAGGCAGATATAAAAAAATACGTGACTCTTAAATTTTTGTGTGTTTAATAATATATTTTAAAGAAACCCAACAATAGTGATATCCCTTGTGAAAGTTAATACTTTTTATAGACTAGAAAAATTATATACATTGAACTTCAGCGAAACCAGAGCGCGATTTTAGTTAGGTATAATGGTTGCTTATCATAGTCATATCTTAAATTCACAAAGCCTCGAAGGGAAATGTTAAAGGACCACGCGACCGTAGGGGATCGTTATAACACGAGGCTGCGATGCAATTGCAACGATCGCATACTTCCAGTTTATACAACACAATAAT